TATAGTTTTCTGAAAACTTTCCGAAATTTTTCGGTGCTGTGTTGGTAATTATAAAAATTATTTATTTGATAAATATAATTTTTTATACTTTTCTTATTTAAATAATTTAAATCTTTTATAATTTTTTTATTTCTCTGGGAGGTTAGACCGTCGTGAGACAGATTAGTTTTACCCTACTGATGACCAGTCGTTGCGATAGTAATCCTGTTAGTAATATGAGAGGAAAGCAGGTTCGGACATTTGGTTCACACACTCGGTCGAGCGGCCGGTGGTACGAAGCTACCATGTGAGATTATGCCTGAACGCCTCTAAGGCCATATCCTCTTTAGTCAAAGATGACAATGATATCTCTAGGAGTCTCGTGAGTCGAAAGGTTCAAAACAATGTGACACTACTAGGCGGCCAGTCGTCGCACGAGCCCGGTTTGCCGTATGGCGCCATCGCCCATCGTCGGGATCTCACCGACACAACGGCACGGCGTCTAACGGTCGAACATGAGTTTCGCTATTATATATCCATTGCATCCATCGAGAGACTAGGACCATCATCTCTCTAGAATATCGGTCGTGGGGATTTGAGAGAATACATGTATATATGTATATTCTAATATACGTATATATGTGTATCATTGTATTGTTGACGTGTTATTCTAAACACGTTATTTGCGATAAATATTATCACATGCCTCAATCGAGGGGATAAGATGCCTGCCCGGTAAGGAGGAGATCCAGGTTCGATTCCTAGCTGAGGTGGTATTTTTTCGCAAAATAATTACAAGTTTTCATGACTGGTTCGTGGTCGGACCCTGCTGTGATGCATACCCTCCCTTCTTATTTCTCTGATACAAGATAGTAGAAATAAAATTTTACAAAATATGTGAAAAAGATTCAAGATTCAATATCGGTACAACCGTTATTGAAAGATTATGTATTTACTGTAATTATAAATATTTGTTTATAAATCTTTTGTTAATTTTTTTGAGAAAATAAGGAGAGAATCAGCTCTCTCAAAATATCTTAAATTATAAATTTAAATATTTTATTTTATCTTTAAACAATATTATAAAAGAACCAATTTTTATCCTTTGTGATAATGTACTTACTTAATTAATAAGTATTTGTTAAATTCAGTATTTCTTTTTGATTATCATATGCAATTGCGCAGTAATTAAAATAGAACGCTCAATTCATATACCATATCATTACATCTATTTTTATTTCCAGATAATGCTACGAAATCAGACAACTTTTTTATTGAATCGTTACGTAAAGGATAAAAACAATATTTATTTTATTAACTTTTATCATATTTTAAACAATAT